ATTAAACTAGTCCGACGCATGTCGACAAAAATAATCATAAATCGTCGAAATGGTCTCCATTCAAAGAACGGATAGCACCAGCACATTCCGAACAACTAAAATGGGTAAAATCGACACCCATATTGGTCAAGGCTATTGATCGACGAATATCAAAATTTTGCGTGCACAAATGGAAGTGAATCTGAAGTACCCTAATGACGACCCGATCAATCTAAATAAATATTCATTAAAAAATGGAGATTTTCTTTTTATTACCTATTTAAAAATAAATTAACTAATTAATCTAAATTAAATAAACCCTAAACTCACACTACCCATCTCATTCCCACCCACGCCTCATTCACGCATCCGCTCTCTCTCCCTCTCAGCTTCCTCATTCTCTCCCGTTGCCTCTTGGTTTGCACAACCCCAGCCCATCGCCCCTGGCCTTCCTCCACCGCCGTCAGCTCAACCTAGGTAAACCATTCATTTAGATTGATCGTGCCTTGATATGACCACTATGTCGTCGCTGTTCACGTACATCGGGTCCACCTCGATTCGCACTCACAAAATTTTGATTTTGATCATTCGACATTTTTTTTTATTTTGGTCTTTCGACATCCTCGGCCAATATAGATGTCGATCTTAGCTATTTCAGATGCCCCAAACTCATCGACTCTGTTCGTTCCGTGAACGGATGTTATTTCAACAATTTAGATTTTTTTAATTCAACGCGTGTTGTGAGAGTTTCATTCGACGTCGTGCTCTTTCGCTTTTGAAACTCGCCGTACGCAGTCGACTTGAATCCAACACTAATATTGAGGTCAACAATATTATGAAAGGAGAAATATAGATATATAATCGCTCAGATAAAAGATAAGAAATATAGATATTTTACTCAATTTAGATGTATTAATAGTGAAGATAATAGGATTTGGGTTAAAGATGAAAAATTACTTTGAGAAATTACCAAATGATAAATTTAAGAAATAAATTATTTTAGAAAATTCTACCGAACAATATAGTAAAATATATTATAGATTGTTCCATAAAAGTGAAATAATTTTAACTTTAAAAAGGATGCATAAAGACAAAGCTTTAAGTCGAGATAAAATACTTATTGAGATTTAAAGAGTTATGGAAGATATTGCAATAATTTGGTTAAAAAGACTTTTTAATAAAATTTTAAAAATTAAGAGGATGCCAAATGATTGGAGAAGAAGCATGTTGAAAGTAATATTAAAGAACAAAACCAATGGTAAGACTCTGCTAAATATAGAAGAATCAAATTTATGAGTCATATATTGTAACTAAGCAAGTGAGTGCAGGAAATGTTGAAAAAATAGAGACATTAGAAATAATTAAACAAAGATTAAGTGATGGAACCACTTGGTTGTGGGCTTGATATGATGGGAATGATGCAGGTTTGATTGTTAAGATGTGAAGGGAGAAAGTTAGCACTAGGGGACAACTGAGAAAAATAAAGAAGCACATCATTCAATAAGCCTGTTTTGCTTAATTTGTTGAGAGATAACTTGCAGATTATTGAAGGCAAAAAGATTCTAAACACTAGCTCTAATGAACAACTTACACTACCAAATAAACTAACAGAAACAAAAAGTAGAGCGGAGCAAATAAATATCTCACATAGCAATCCTTTCCTTCTGACCGGTAACGAGCCTCTCTTAGATTTGCAACACTACCCCGCACTTGCTCACCACGATATTCAAGAACCTGAAGATAAACACAACGCCTAAGTTAATATTTGTATTGCTTTTATAGTTGAAAGATGAATATTTTAGGCAAAAAGAAGTCCACCAACTGAATAAACGATACAAACTTGATGAAACAAAACAAGTATTTAGAAATGTTAACAGTGAATAATTGTATAAGAAGTAGCTCTTGAAGGACATTGAATAAAACCTGATGACAGAGTTATTATTATGTTATTCTCAATGGAGAAAGTGTAAGAAAAAACAAAACCAATGCAATGTTGAGAAATAAGCTATAGCAGAAAATTAGAAACAGGAAACATAAATGAAACTACAGAAAGCTGTGAAGAACTGAGAAACTTCATCTTCTTCCATTAGCATTGTAAGCTGCAGTTATGTATATATATATATATAAGCATCAATACCAAAAAGAAAAAAAACAGAGAATGTTATAAAGTAACGGTAGTGGTTGCTGAAGACAGTAAACCAACGCTTGAGATGATCTCTAAAAAAGGTGTGAGGCAGCTGTACAAAGAAAGTGGAATAGAGAGTCGGTGTATCATAAGTGGAATAACATATCTTCAGCAGCTTATATCATATCACCGCCCCTCAAAGTAACAATTCGTTCGTGAATTATTAACTTGTCTCATAAATGAATAAACCGACCAGATGGTAAAAAAAAACAAAAAAACAAAAAAATAAATAAATAAATAAACCGAACAGACGGTAGAGATTTTTGTGAAGAGATCATCTGGTTGGTCTCACGAAGCAATGTGATGCACGGAAATGTGTTGTTGTTTGATACAATTCTGAATAAAGTGATAATCTATTTCAATATGTTTAGTGCAAGCATGAAAAACAAAATTATTGGCCAAGTACAGAAGTATTATCACAAAACAATTTGGTTGGAGTTGTCAAGGGGATCCAAAACTCCAAAAGTAACAGGCATAACCAAATGATATCAGTAGAAGCAGTGGCTAAAGCTCGATATTCCACCTCGGAGGAAGACTGAGCATCTAAAGTTTGCTTTTTAACTCACCAAGAGATTAGTGTAGATCCAAGGTAAGCACAATAACCCGTGATAGAGTGACGATCTGATTTTATGCATGAAATTCAAATGTGGACCTAGAAATTGGGAGTTCAAGGTGTGTTGTACGACGAAAATATCTGAGAACTCATTTTAGCAGCTGAAAATGTATAGTAAATGGTTTGTGTATGAGTTGACATAAAGAGTTAACCGCAAAAAGAATATCGAGTCCGGTGATCGTTAAATACTGTAAGGAACCAACCAATTGTTTGTATTAGTAAGGCTGAGAGAAGAGTTCAGAATCACCTGTAATTGGAGGAAGTTTGGAGTAAGTTTGGACGGCAAGAGAGTAAGTAGCGGTTTGCAATCTTTCATATCAGCTTTAACAAGCAAATATGTAGTGTACCTAGCATGGTTTAAATGGAGACCAGCTACTGTGGAGAAAACTTGGATGCCTAGAAAATAAGCAACAGGACCAAGGTTTCACATAAGAAACCGTGAATGGAAATCTTGAAGTAGAGATTCAATGGCCTTGGCATCATTGTCAGTGAGTGGATATCATCAAACACTAGAATGTAGAGACAAACTAAGTTATGATGATAAAATAACAGCGATGAATCAGCAATACTTGTAGTGAAACCATAGTTTTCAAGATGCATGGAGAAGTTAACAAACCATTGATGAGGTGTCTGTTTAAGTCCATATAGGGCATTCTTAAGCAAACAAACATGATTAGGAAGTTGAGATTCTTGGAAGCCCGGGTAATGCTTCATGTAGACAATCTCATCTAAGTTGAAGAAGAAATGTGTTTAAACATCAGTTCAAGAATGGTCCACTTGTAAGTGACGGCCTCAATGAAAAATATACTAATTGTTCAATTGGAATAAATGTATGATGATAGTCTAAGCCAAACTCTTGTTTAAAATCTTGAGCCACTAAAAGAGCTTTATAACATGCAATGATTCCATCATAATTGTATTTTGTTTTACACAATCATTTGCATCCTAAAACATTTTGCTCAGGGGAAGGGGGAACCAAAGTCTAGGTTCCTTGTTTTTGTAGAGCTTCAAATTCTGCACTCATAACAAACCTCCAACAAAAATTATTCTATCTGGAATTCATACCCCAATGAAAATGTGTCACGCCCAGTACCGAACTTATACCGAGCAGTACTCGGTACTCGGTACCGCTCGGTACCTGAGCGTAAATCGGACGGTTCTCCTGTCCGGTATCCGCACAGAATAAACTCTCCCAAAATTCATGTTTAACAGCTTCAGAGTAACCAGAAGGTGAAGTAGAAACTATGTTAAGATGAAGGTCAAATAGAGGTTTGAGTTTAAGTTTGCATGTTTGAAACCTAGTGATCATGGGATGTCGAGACTCGAGACAAAGCTGATGAAAATGGGTGGATGATGTGAATCAGTGTAGTAGATATTGTATTAGTTGATGGTGGAATGGAATGGGAATTCGGTGAGTGTAGCTGAAGAGATGGGGAAGAAGTATTTAAAAGTGGTGATGAAACAGATGCAGATGCTCGGGAGGAGATAGTCATACTCGGTGAAGTTGTAGTAGGTATAGGTGTGATAGGGGAAGATGCAGCAGGCATTGATGGAGCATGTAACATGAAGGTTGGCACCAAAAATGGACGAATGGTAGGTGTAGCAGTTGTGGTATTGAAATGTGTCTGTGCAGCTTGGCATGGGAAAATAGATTCATGAAATTGTACATGCCGAGATATATAAATACAACCAGTGGACTGATCATAGCATTTACATTCTATAGCTTTAATAGCATAGCCCAGAAAAATGCATGGTTGTGACCTTGGCTAAAATTTATTTCGAGTTTTAGGGGAAAACTAGGGTTAGCATAAACAACCAAATGTTTTCAAGTGGTTGAAATTACAAGGTCACCTATGCAAGCATTCATAAGGTAAAATATTGTGGGTGACTTTGGATGGCAAACGATTACTTAAGTACGCATTCATAAGAAGAGTATCAACCCAAAAAACAATAGTCAAGTGAGCATCAATGAGAAGTCCTCCAACCGTTTCAAGTAAATGAGAGTGTTTATGCTCAACAACCCCATTTGGCTCTCGAGTATAAGGTCAAGTTGTTTGATGAATAGTGTCGTTCATGTATTCAACACCACCGTCGGAATCAGGTATTTTAATGGATGATTGAAAATGTTTTACCACAAGCAATTTGAAATGAAAAAATATGGAACAAGTCTCATATTTGGAATGAAGAGGATACACCCAACAATATCGTGAAAATCGTCAACAAATAATAGATAATACTTATAAGATTGAACTGACAAAATTGGGGATGGGCCCCATACATCAATATGGATTATTTCAAAACAATGAGTAATTTTGATTACAGATAAAGAAAGCTATAGCGCAAGCTAAATAATATGGAGTGGTAGGCGACTGTGAAGTGGGTAGAAGAGTTGAACGAAGTTGTAGAGTAGAGAAAACCGTATGTCCAAGCCGCTTGTGCCAAATAGTGTTGGTAGAAGTTGACAGAAGATATGGATCACACCTGTGAGTCTCAAGAACTCCCTCTGCTCCTTCAAGATTTTAGGTAAGGGTCACTCCAACATAACATTTATCTTGGAAAGATCTGCAGGTACTCCTAATTTGGACACCACGTCCCAAATGCTCCACCCTCTAATATGCAAAAGAATATTTCTTCAAATTGCAAACAACTTATGCTCCTTTAATGTCACAAACATAACTCTCAAGTGCTCCAAATGCTCTGCCTCAGACCAACTATACACCAAAATGTCATCGAAGAAAACTAATATGAACTTGCAGAGGTAGGGATGGAATACCTTGTTTATTAGTGATTGAAAAGTAGCTGGGGCATTTGTGAGCCCAAAAGGCATCACTAAGAACTTATAGTGGCCTTCATAAGTCATGAAGCATTCTTGTGAATGTTAGCGGACCACATTATAATATGATGGTATCCCAATTTCATATCAATCTTGGTGATCTTGAAGAATATTACCGATTCATATAACTCATCCAGCAACTCATCAATGACTAATATAGGAAACTTATCCAACACCGTTTTCTTATTTATAGCTCAGAAATCTACACAATCTTCAACTTCTGGTCTTCTTCACCAGCAACACAAGGCTGGATAAAGGGCTAACACAGGGATGAATGATTTGGGCCTCCAACATCTCCTTGATTAACCTCTCAATTTCATCATTCTGAATATGTAGGTACCTGTAGGGTCGAACACTGATAGTGGATATCCCTTCTTTCAAGTTGATGGTATGCTCATGCTCCATTTGGGGAAGCAGACCTTGAGGCAGCTGGAACACCTCACTGAATTGTTATGAGAGTAAATGGACTATCTCTGAAACCTCCTCCTCTTTCTACATGCCTTCCTCTCCCACGAGGCTATAAAGCTCAACCAAGAATCCCATCCCTACCCCCTGGAATTCCCTCACAATGGTATTCAGAGAAACCCTAATTTTAAATAGACTAGGATTCCCCTAATCCTCACCTCCCTCCCTCCTACCATGAATTTCATGGTCAATGCCTTCCAATCCACCTTGGTCTCTCTCAGGGTCTGCAACAACTTCATGCCCAAAATTACATATATACTTCCCAACTCCAAGGGAAGAAAATCCCATACTATATGTATGTCCTGGAGTGTCAGCAACAACCTCCTGCAAATCCCTCTACTCTTTTCCACCTTTCATGTTCCATCATGACTCTAAAGATCCTTGTCTCCACCAAGTTCAATCTCAACTGGTCCACAACCCACTTTGAGATGAAATTATAGGTAGCCTCACTATCCACCAAGACCATCACAGGCTGCTCCATGATATGTCCCCTCACTTTCATGGTGTGATTTGGAGTAAATTCCACCACTGAATTAAGGGGCACTTCCACCTCATCAAGGTGTGGGTGCTCCCCTCCCGCTTCTACTTCCTCCACCAGATCTCGGTGTTGGTCTCCTCCTCATCACAAACCATAAGACATGAAATGTGTGGTCTTTGCACCGATTGCCTAATACATAGTTTTCATCACAATGAAGCACAGACCCCTTCACTCTCTTATCATGCACCTCTGCCTCTGTCAGGCGCTTAAAGTTGGTCCCGAGAGGAACTCCCTCACTTTTTTTCCCTCGGTGCCTCCCGCTGAAATGACGTTGTCTGGATTTTCGATGCCAGTGAAGTCGATGTACTTCTGTAAGAGCCTCTCGCTACCCCGCTCAACCAGTGGTCCGCTCGTAGGTCAGACCTGAGGCCCTTGATGAAATTTCCCTCAAAAACAACCTCCAAAATTCCCCTCAGCCGCCCCAACAGCAACTCAAATCTCTCCTTGTACTCTATGACAGTCCACTAGGCAAGGAATTGCCCATATAGCACTCCTTCCCAAATGGCTCGAAAACATTCCAACAAGCAATCCTTAAACTCTTCTCAAGAACAGATCTGATATCTAGCCTCCTCCACTGGAATCAAGAGAGAACTTACCCTCCAAACATAGCCCTGTGGGATGCGGCTATAAGATTCTCCTCCTCACTCAACCCATTCACCATGAAATACCTCTCCACCCGATATACCCACCCAAGAGAATCTTCCCTTCGAATATTGGCATCTGCCACCGATGGTTCCCCCCATGTATCGAGGGTGGGAATCCCACATTTCTTCCATCCACCTCCCATAAATCCATCCCCATGACTCGGCTCATCCCGTTCCTCCAATAGTCCACTCTTGCCCAAAAAGGTCTCCCACAATGGTCAATCACCCTACCACCTCCACCATAAAACTCCCTTCCTACTATCCCCTAATCCGAAAATGCTATTTTGCCCTTTATCGAATTATTCTCGTCTAATCTCTTTTCTCTTAGATTCGGCCAGGGGAATCCTGGCCAAATCGTGATGAGGGTTAGCAATTGAAACACCGGTGAAACTTTGGATTGCATCTCAATGAGTTTCCTCATCATCTCCTTCATCCCTCCAAATCAGCTCTCCATCCGATACTCTATGGTTGAAAACCTTCCTTCATGGTTGAGAACTATCCCATCCCGAATTTGATTTTCTCCACTTTGCCTTCTAACGCATTCACCTTCTTTACTGACATCTCTCCAAAACCTCACTCTGATACCAATTTGATACATCTTGGAAGTAAAAATAGCAAAGTAAACAAGGAGAAACTACTGGAATACGAAGATAGGTGTTGATTTTGTTATTATCTCTTCAACAAGAAAGAAAGATACAAGTGATCTATTATTCTAGAGATAGATCGGCTCTCCCACCAACCCTAGGCATCGCTAGGAACTCTCCAAGAAAACTGCATCAAAAAATAAATTACATAAATTAAAATAACAACATAATTATCCCTAAATAAGCTCCCCTAATTCCCTTCCAAATCAGCCACCTTCCCTAAATAATTCCCTCCCAAATTTGATTTCAATTTGAATATATTTCCCTAAATAATTCCCTCCCAAGTTTAAATAAAACTTTCCTAAATAACTCCCTCTTGATTCCTCATCCTTACATAGTGAATATTAACTCCCCTAAGCCCCACAAGAGGGTTAAAAACTCCCTTCCAATTACACAGGTTCCCACCAATCTATTATATGCTAGGTTCAATTGGTCACAGCCGAGCGGCTGGCTCCCGCTCGCCCAAGGCGTGAGCGTAACACAACCTTTTGCATGACTTCAAACATATACTGAACCATGGATTTTTCATTCATTTGGAGCTAATGTAGCTCTTTCTTTAGCTGAAGGATAGGAGAACGATTCGTGGATTGCAGGCGATGCTCAATGGTGAGCTAAATTTCATGATAGGAATCAGGATTGAGAAAATAAGGTAATAAAGAGTGATAAATAGTTGCTGCCAAATTTTGATCTATAAGAGTCCAAGTAAGAAACTGCGGATTAGTGGAAATGAAATAAGGTAATAAAGAGTGATAAATAGTTGCTGCCAAATTTTGATCTATAAGAGTCCAAGTAAGAAACTGCGGATTAGTGGTAATGATATTATGAGATGACACAAGTTGTTTAACTGGTTTGATAGTGGAGCCATCAAGGTAACCTTCAAAGCCATTGACACGAAACATATTCAGAATTTGTGATTTTCAAATGAGATGACTATCCACATTAAGTTGGACACTGATTACATTTTTTATATTGAACATGAGATATATGAGTTGAGGCAGGATCGGAATATCACTCAGCATTTGAGGAGAGCCCGCTGAGTGTGAGCAGTGGTAGCCATGATAAAAAAAAAACCTCAGGTAAGCAGGAACCGAGAGAGGGAAGAAAGAAAATAGACTATTATAGCGATGGCCGATTAGGCTCTGATACCATGTTGAGAAAGAAGCTGTAGCAGAAAATTAGAAACAGGAAACATAAAATGAAACCACAGCAAGCTGTGAAAAACTAAGAAACTTCATCTTCTTCCATTAGCATTGTAAGCTACAGTAAGATATATATGTAAGCATCGATACATAAAAGTAAAAAACAGAGGAAGTTATAAAGTAACAGTAGTGATTGTTGAAGACAGTAAACCAACGCTTGAGAAGAAATTCTCTGAAAATGTGTGAGGCGGCTGTAACATATCTTCAGCAGCGTATGTCTTATCATGCAACACCTCTCTGAGCTAAAATTAGCAACCATATCTAAATATATCACTTTTCAAAGCTAAAATATTAAATTAAATCACAAAGTTGATCCAATTTCTCCCCGAGAGACTGTTTGGGTTCAATTTTGTACCGTTGATGGAATAAATTATAGAGGAGATGGTCTGAAATTAAATTGGTCGCATACAAATAGTAGGTGGACCATTTTGGCTAAAAAAAATAGCTGTTTGAACGTATGGAATTTCTGGTGGTATGGAAAACCAATATGATTGAATAAGATAATAGTAAGTATCTACCTCAAAGCAAAACCTCTTAAGACTAAGGACTCACCTTCTAAAGAATAAATAACTTATACATCTAGCGAAAGACAAACTAGGAACAATGTTAGCGTTCAGAAATTACCATTTCACCTTCTTGAATATTCCTACGTGCAAACATGCCCCATCCATGTATTACGGATCTCCCAAAACAGATCCGACTATTTTCTGTTAACTGGAGTGGGAAAAGTGTGAAAATACAGCCTGAATAAAATTTTATAAGAGAAGTGGTGACGGGCAGACATGCCTGTAGATTGTAAAGGCGTTCACTGAATGAGGAAAACGATTTGGGATCCTCCTATTCAGCATTGATAGAAATGTTCAAAATAAGGGCCCTTCTTTTTATAATCATAACAGAACAAAATCTTTAAACAAAGTTAGTAAAATATTGTGGATTGCAGAAGAAGAGTCACCATAGGTGCATTCAAACTTTGAATTTCCTCCAAAGGATGAACACGAAGTCCTGTAAGATGATGAACAATAGGCTCTTCCTGCTTACTCTGAAAAACATTAGAGAGCAATAAAAGATCAACTTTAGAAGGATCTATGAAGAGTTTTACAAGAAGGCCAATAATAATAAGTTGTCTAAAATACAATGATGTTGGTGGCTATTAATTTGTTTGGTGGTGATTGTGTATGTGTGATTGAAATTTGGCCATGTGTGATACATGTCAGATTTCTTTTCATAATATTATTCTTACTGAAATTTTATATCCGTTCATTATTTTTTAAGTGAAGTTTTAGAATATGACAACTATTAAATTATTGTTTTTAATCAAAGATGAATTTATGTAATCTTCACACAAAAATTGACTAATCATTGCTAAAGTAAAGACTTCGAAGCCTATAGGTTGTGATTTTTTTGTGTTTTCATTGTCCTTCAGATCATATTGCATAAGTAAACCCAGACCTTTAATGATCCTATATCAAATTGTATCAATTATAGATGTGTCATCATGTTGACTAATCGTAAAATAAGTTAATTAAGACGATCAAAAAATTAATAAAGTATGTGATATAAACAAAATCAGGTAACATAACATAATTATTATGAAGATCTAAATTATGTTCCCACATTTAATAGTAGGTATAATCTTGAAGAAATTTCAAGTTAGATCAAAAATTTGAAAAAAAAAATTGCTTATATATCTATGATCCATCTAATTTTGAAAAAGATGACCGTGCTGAATATAAATTAGCTCATCATGCTCAACATTTTGGCAATATACAGCAAGTAAAACAAAATTAATATGGGCTAAATAGAAAATAAGCTTAAAGAATAATCTGTCATATCGAAAAAGTAATTCTAATATTAGCATATAATGATAGGTTTATAAATCTTGTAATTAAACATGATTTGCCTCAAGATTAATATAGCATCATAATGTATTTTGTTACAGAACTTAGGCAAGATATTAGGGTTATATTAAACTACAATTTATTAAGAACCCTAAGTGCAATTTTAACCAGATATTTGAATAATGAAGCTTGCTACAAACAACCTGTTAGTAAGGATACACCCATTATTAAAATCCCTAAATAAAAATCTTTATCCTCTCCTCTCAAACATGCCAACCCTACACTGACATCAGAATTATGCTTAATGGAATCTGATGTTATTAAATAAATTGTAACACAAGAACATCCTTTTGAAAATGAATTATATAAAGATTCTAAATTATAATTGGATTCTTTTAATGTTGTGCAGATTAAATTTACACCAGCATTAAATACAGTCATAATTGAATTGAAACCTCTAAAGAAAATTCAGTATACAACTGAAAACAAAATGTAATCTATATTTAAATACAGTCAGAATTCAAACCCGAAATCAAACTTCTGTTTGAGACTAAGCTTCGTTTGGACGGCTTTATTCATGCTTCTTAAAGTAGCTTTTTAGTACAAACTAGAAGCCGCTTTAAGAAGCACTAAAAAAGCCGTCCCAAACGAAGCCTAATTGTGAAACTTGCATTGAGCTTACAGTCATATATTAACCTAAATTGAACAACTCGTGCCTACTAAAGTTTATAAATTAAATGACCATGCTGATTTAACTCCTAAATCAATTTCTAATAAAATTGTCTCCATCAATCAAACTAAAATTGATTTTTTCATGGTTTTAATTATTTGACATCTAAATTAATAAAGAGAGTTTTAGTGAGAAAGTCAAATTGCATCAATATTTCAATGAATTTGTGAATAATGACTACCAAAAAATAATACCACCTTTGACTACCATTGTACTCAAAACACCACCTGTTGTTGCCTATTACTTTGAATGAATGTATATGTATTGAAATTATGGAACATAACGATGATTCATATTATCTAAGTGTAGGAAAATTTGGAACTCTAGATTTTTATTGGATCTTAGATCCTATTTTGGGCACTTCTTGTCAAGACAAGTAAAAATCAATGAATATCATGTATTGAAATAAATTTTCTTTTTTTCTCAACTCTTATGTGTGTGTTGGTTGGAAGTCTATCCTTGGTGCACTTCACAAGTCCTGCAACAGACTATGGAGGTGAATCTCCATGTACTGAAATAAGGCATAGATCTTCTTTTTAGTAATTTATATCATTGTTCTTGATATTAATTTTTTTCGTGGCTCATGTAAGTGCATGAATGAAATTCGGTCAACTATATGTATATAGGAGCCCTTTATGTATCATGAATCTTTATCATTGTCAAATTTTTAAATTTGTGCATTATATTTGTTGTGGAATTTCAGATTTTAATGGCTATTAAATTACTATTTTGAATGACATAGAAGTGTTTGCAGTTTTTAGATCAAAAAATGACTAATTATTGTTAAAGTTAAAGAGTTAGTTGCTTTTGGATTGTGTTTTACGTGTTTTCATCATGCACATCATCCTAAGTTGCATTAGTAAACCTTGAACCCTCTACGATCCCACATCACATATGCAGAAGCATTGCTAACAAAGACAAAATTAAATGAAATTAGAACAATTCAAAAATTTATTGAAATTCAATTAAGCAAACATATCAGCCAGTTGAATCAATAATCTTCAACTCGCACAATCATCTCTTAAGTCCAACTAAATTTGTTTCAAACGCTCAAAGCACAAAAAGAGTTACTGGGTTACATTCTCCACAAATAGAGACAGCTCAGTCCACACAGAGATAATGGTTCAATACATAAATTTTACCATATGCCTAAGTAAAGTTTTAGCAATGTGTACCTTAGAATCCATCTTGTTATAGCTTCGACACCTTGCAGCTGAAGAAGTTTCTAAAATAGGCGTTGTGATGGTCACGTCGTCGCAGGTGTCTTTACGAATCAGTCTACAACAACTTTCCTTCTCCTTTTTATGAAGTAAACTTCTACTAGCGAAGACTCCGAGAGGAGTTTGTATGATTAAAACGTTATCAAGATTTGGAATCCTGCATTGATTGAAATTAAATGTCTAGACTTTCCAACCAGAATACAGTTAACAATAAGAAACAATATTTAAGAAACAGATTTAAATGCTTCAAGATAGCAAATCCAATATTGATGAACAAAAAGAATTTCTATGGTTAGTGCAAACAAAACCTAAATGGCATGAAAAGTTCACCTAAACTATCCAAAATCTAAAACAAGCTGCAGCAAAATCAATGCTGCTTTACATAAAAGAAGCACACCGAGCATATTGAAAAATATAACTTAAAAAGTAGTATATGCGAGGTTTACCTGTGTTGTGCACAATATGATACCATTTTTGTCATTTGTTTGTCATTTTTCACTATGCAGTGTAACTGCAAAAACAATAATAAAAGAGCTTTGATTTTCATCCTAAAAATATAGACTAAGAAAACACTTCAAAAACTTTTATCCACACATAAGGCATTCATAATTGAGTAAAGGCTAAATATGCAGAAAGAACATGCATAAAGAGTGACATTATACCCCAAAAAAAGCACCAATCCATAGCAGAAAAAAATGAACAGTTACAATGCATCTCAAAAGTATGAAAAAGAAAGGCACATTATATGGTACATCGTTGTCCCTTAATGATATTTTTTTAAAGCACGTTTTCTACCTTCAATGGGATAAAGAACCACCAAATTCAGCAATGTTAAGGGAATTCATGCTCAACAGATCATAGGAGTAGCAGCTTTGTCAGAGTGATGAGTTTTAAAACTAGAAAGTATCAAATTTCAAATGACTATTTTATTTTATGAAGATGTGTAAGTAAGAGCTTTAAGTTTTAACAACTCATCGAAGATTAAGAACGAAATAGATAGATCAAAAGTGATATAGCTATAAGTAATGATAGGGTTTTATTTATTTAGTCTTTAAATATTTTAGCTAGTTAGGTTCCTTAATTTTCTTTTTTTTTCTTCTTTGTTTTATTTTTTTTATTTTCTTATTTTCTTTAAGTAGGGATGGAGTGGTAATTTGTGACCACTTGGTGCTCTTTGGTTATTGATAAATATATCATATTCTTTTGGGAGGAGGATATTTTTTTAGAGTTGTTTTCAGGTTATCCTGAGATTTAGGGTGGATTCTGTATTCTAGGTAAGGCAAGGTGTGAAGGTGGGAAAATTATTTGGTGCGGAGTCCAGACGATAAATTTGTACACGTGTAATACGGACACGTGGAGATTTCATTGGCTTTAATTTTTTTAGGTCATTTTATTTTTCGTCGAAATGCATCAAAAATAAAAGCACAGCAAAGTGAAAGAGCAGCAAAAGCGAAATCAAAGCGCAGCGCAAGAGCACCAAAAGTGAAAGCGCAGCAAAAGCGCAGCAAATTACACGTTTTAAATTTCTAAAAAAAATTTCCTTACAACACAGTAAATATCCACGTGTCCATATTACACGTGTACAAATTTAATTGAAGGCCGGACGTAATGTTGCGTCCGGACTCCGCACGCCTGGACTCCACACCAAATAATTTGTCGTGAAGGTGACAAGGAAGTCATAATGGAGTTCAAGACTTACAAAGATTGATTGCCAAGATCCCTTAGTCCTCCCTAGTAACAGTTGGTCTCCTTGCCAGCAGTTTCCCAGCAACAAGATGGTGTGGGCAGCCAATCTTTGAGGAAGAAGTTCTCGGGTTGGGTTTCTTCTATTACATAAAGGCTGACTGGATTCTCCAAATACCTAGAAATCCAATTTTCATGAGTTGGCGAAATGTTCCAGTGAGTAGAAAAGGGTATTTTGCTGTTTTTACCAAGTTATGGATGGAATTCCAACTTGTAGAATAATTGGGCAGGACAAATTGGCCATGGAACACATTGGCAATCTGACGTTTTGTAATCCATAAGTTCATCAGGCAGCAGATTTCAACAGCTGGTGATTCAAGAACGTCCCTAAATCAGGTACCCTGTTTCTATATTTGTTCTTAATTAATTTCTTTTCTTGAAAACTGCGACCTACCTTGTTATTTACCTCAATGCGGAATTTATTACCAAATCATGCCAGGTTCTTCTCCTAAAAGCCCACTAGTCTTGATTCAAGGAAGACGTCGGTCATCAGGTGGGCTGGAAAATTCCAGCAATAGGTTAAGCAAGAAGGCTGACAAGAGTAGCTATTTTCATCCCAAAACCACAAGCTAATGCAGCATTCAGGAATTTGGAAATTGATGCAGTAAGCCTTCCCAGAACCAAATTTCAGAGAATGCTCATGAGTTCATTATTAGAATTTCTCTTTCTAGTTTCTATATATTGATTAAAAAAAATTTAGCCAAGGTCTATATTAGCTTGTTTAGGGTATCATTCGAGGGACTTGTCTTTATAATTATTTTTAGGGGTGTCAATATTTGACACGATCCGAAAATCCGACCCGAAAATTCCGGGTTAAAGTCAACCCGGACCAGAAACGGGTCGGGTTTGGGTTCAACAATTCGAGCAGTTTTAAAATTTGGGTCGGGTTGACACTTTGACCCCAAATTGACCCGTTTTTTACTTGAAAACTCATTTTTGACCCGGAAACCCATATTGACCAGTTTTTTTTCCCGAAAAGCGGGGATTGACCCATTTTTTGACCCAAAAACTAGTTATTTTTTCTCAGTCCCGGGACATTCGGGTCGTGTCGATTGACCCGGACCCCAAGCAGGTCGGGTTCGGGTCAAAAAAATCAATCCGTTTGCAAAAATGGGTCGGGTTCGAGTTGACCCAAATAATGTTGGGTCAGTTTCGGATTCAACCCGAACCCGACCCGTGACCCGAAATTGACACCCCTAATATTCATTTTGGCAACAAGTAGTTTGTTTTCCTTCCTTGTCTATCATCCAATGTTATGGAATCAATATCAAGTAATGGAAAAATACACAAAATAGAATTAAGAACTCAAGTGACACTAAAAAACAAATGGAGGAAAGGAATTCACAAAGCTGACCCCTAATATGATTATGATAATGATAAGCATGATGATGCTTTAAGGATTTCTTCATGGTTGTTTGCATCCGTTTGACAATTCTTGCTGCTAACAAGAAGCATCAAGTGTCTTTTTACTGGATTATTTGACAAGATGATATATAAGAAAAATTTATAGCACCATTCAAAAATCACATGTGATTTCGTTAAGAAAAAATCATTATCTTCAATATTTTAAAAGATAAATCTTAAAACTCCATTTATAATTTAACCTTTGCTGTCATTTTAATTTAATTATTGCTCTATTATACCCCTCGGTTACAAGAGAGAAGTTGATAAGTAGAGATCAAAGATCACTCATTCATTTGTTTTAGTGATACCACTATCCATATCCACCTATGAGAGAAGCGAGGATCCTTCCGCATTGAGAAAGGCAGAGATCCTTACTTGCCAGGAGAAGCAAATCTCCTTGTCTCCATTAGCAGCTTTTATCACACTAGTAGAAACACAGAAGTTGAGATGGCTGCACCATATAGAGTATCGAGGATCCTTCCTCACTGGGAGAAGCGAAATCAAGATTAATTTGTGCTAAACATTTAAGGAGTTTATCATAACTAGTGCTTGATATAAGTCATCAACTCATATCCCTCCAAATGTTCAATCTCTGAGTATTGGTGTTGGCATTTATATGCCTTCCTTCAGTTTACTCATTTATCCCATCTCTTGTAAGTTTTTCATGATGATTAGTGATAAGACAACTATATTTTCTTGCTTTTAAGTTTTCAAAGCAATATGTTACAATCTTTTGTTGCTTCTAGTCATTATATTTGATTATTTTGTTTCCACGACATTTTGTGTGTTCTTTGTGCTTATTTGCAGGTTCTAGTGAATAAAAGTTGTCATCTTACTATTTTCTTAATAGCAACAGAATAATATTGAAAGATATTACATCAAGGGGCTGTTTCGTTGCATGAAAAAGAAATGCAATGTAAAATAATTGTAGTGTATTTGAAATAATTTAGAGTTGTTTGGTTGAGTATAAAGTAAATGCAAGCTTTTGCCTTTTTTTTGTGCTTGAAGTAAAGAGAATGAAGTGTAAAGTAAGGTGGCGGGTGACGCGTGGTAAGTCAAGATTGGCCTGCTAGGGTGGCTGGCGTCCGTCGGCGGTGGCGGGGGTGACCAGCGATAGACGGCGGCGGCAAGGGTTGGCTGCGACGGTATGCCTCAGTGGCAGAGGTAGCAGTCGGCGGTGGCAATGGCGATCAGTTTCCAATGTATTTGAAAATCGCTAAAATCTCAGAAGTTCCAAATACATTGTGGATTTGAACTAGAGGGTGAATTCCTTTTACTTCAAATTTTACTCTGCATTCCTTTTGCGAGAAGTTGTACACTGGTGTATGCTTTTTGCTGATGATATTCTTCTTCCTGATAAGACTAGAGAGAGAGTTGAAAGTGTGGCTCCGAAAATTTTTCGCCCCAGCCTCTCTGCAACCCTTTTCTTTTTTGTGTCGTTGAGGAGAGTTTTAACAAGTTTTAAGTTCCGGAGTAAAATTTCAAAAGGCATATTAGGTTTTAGATAAAACATGTTTACTTTCACATGTTCTACTTTACAATTAATTGTATATGAAATTTTTTCTCTCAAGTATAAAATATATTTAATTGATCTTGACTTCTAAGGTTAATGTCAAATGTTGAGGATAATGCCTTCATCATGCCAAATGTTATTGGAGTGTACCGCCTTCCAAATTTAAGATACGACAATCTGTCTAAATAATTCAAGAGACTCATTAGCTCCACAGTAAGTATGACAAAAGAAATTTAATAGCCTAGAATATTCCAGCATATTATAATTAACCTAGATAGTCCATTACATGTTCGCCGGCATACCTCCATGCGATATCCAGCTCTTGATGCACACATAGCATGATAGTAGGTGGAACATCTATAGCATTGTGTGCAAGAACCATGCATCTGCTTACATATCGAACATGTCTGAGAGGGCATGAAAACATCAGCAACTAATTTATGGCTTTAAAAATCATTGTAGAGCATGAACTATAAAACATTGCAGAAATCATCTAATCCAAGTTCACAGTGTTATTTATAGTATTGACCTTTGCCAATGATTGTAATGGGACGTTCAATATTCCAACAGCAGGCTCCATCTTTTCATCACTTAAGAAAGAGACTTCTGGTTGAAACCATGCACATGTAACATGAACCCAGAGTTCCTCAATATCAGTTGGCTTCAAAGCACCACCTATCAAAATTCATTACAAAGTTAATGTTTCATACTAATAAGCATCCATTTATTAAAAATTTATCTTGTAAGTACTTAAGCACAAAGTATTATAACATTGAAATGCATTAACTACTACGATTTAATTAGGCATAATTGGTGAACATGAGATTTGCTTTATGTAGAAAAACAAGAACTGGACCATTTACTCAACATAAAGTTAATAGAGTATGCATACTTAAGCATATTGTTTTGATTCCTCTATTATAAACAGAGGGATTCTCTATTGACTAAGAGATATAGTCATGTTGAATCTGAGTTCCAGTAATTTGCTAGTCTGAGGTTCTGCTTCTACAGCTAATAATCATTGTACATTGAATATTGTGACATAATTCTAATTTTCCTCAATTATTTTGATTGCACTAGTTGGATGTGTATTTCTCAAGTGCTTCATAGGTATTGGTGAACACTTTAGGAGTCTCTCCTTGTACCAGAGTGAGGTTTGGTTCTTCCTTTAGGTGATTTCTATCTTTATCATTTTTCTAATTTCTTTAGAAGTTGATTTTTGTGTGCAGTTGGAATTTTCTCAAGTGTAATATGTATGGAACTTCCTTTTCGTTGTGTGAGCTTTGCCATTGCTAAAATTTTAAGTTATTTCATTACTTTATTGTGGAATTTCAAATTTTGGCGACTATTAATTTGAAATTGATGAAGCATGTTTGTCATATTTTTATTAAAACTGATTTTTATCAAAGTAACGATTTCGTAAATTGTAGATTGTGTTTTAATGCGTTTTCACCATGTATATCATCCAATATTGCATTAGGAGCACTAGACTCCTAATAATCTTACACCAACCTAAAAACTGTTTGTATCATCATGGCAACTAAAGTAGAACATACCAAATTAGTCAATTAAAAAATCAACAAAAGAAATTAACATGCATTATATTATATATATATATATAGAGAGAGAGAGAGAGAGAGAGAGAGAGTTAGTGGAGCATGTTTATTGTGGTATAAATTGGCAAATTGTATTAATTCTATTAGCATATGCAGAAGGGTTCTATATTGAATATATACATAGAAATCTCTTTCCCATCAATAATTATCTAGAAATATAAAAGTACCTTTCACTGGGCAAAGGCAACACTCTCGTTTATATTGAGGTTTTTCGCAAGCTCTACACACCCAGGATGTGAAATCTCGAATATTTTTGGCTCCATAGCATTCTTGGTGAACAGCTACTTGACACCTGGGAAATTAAATCGATAGACTAGTATTTTTTAATTTTCTTTATAGGTATGATTATTCAGGTATATTTAAAGCAATAATGAGCAATGCCAACGCTTTTTTACAATTAGAAGATCAACTATCCCCAAATATCTTATATGTTAAAAAAAACCAAGAAAAATACCTGTTACAAATTATAATCTTATTGTAATCCCAGTCCTCAACCCATCTACAGATTGCGCAGCGCTCTGTTGTCCATTTAGCAAACACTGGCTGATATCCTTCTGTTGAGATGAAATCAAAATCATAATCAACTCATCATGCATAGATATCCATAGCAGAAATGGAGCAAGATTGATGTTACTGTTAAAATAAATAAGTAAATGCTGGCTCAAATTAAAGCTTTTTACCATGTAAACAAGCAAGCAATTTCTCTTTTCTCACTTTTAATGATGGGCCCTTAGCATGGTTTGGGAAGTGCGCATCATAATGATCCAACTGTAGAACAACATTAGGATGATCAACAAATCTAGCTATAGGTCAAGTCATTAACGATTTATGGCAATATCCATAAGAACAATTAAACTAGAGGAATTATCCAAGAAAAGAAAAGGAAATGGCATCACAAGAATGCTAACAATGTTATGTGTTGAATTGCTGGTCACAAAGTATGTACCCATTTTCCTAGTGCCAGCATTGTACTTTTAACTTTTAAACTACTCTTCCACTTCTTGCCTCTGCAGCCAGTATGCCTCTCCCATTCACTTGGCGTTAGCTTCTGAAGCTTGCAAGAACCACAATGGCATAATACCCTACACAAAAGCAATGTCCTTCATCAGGTCTCAGGGCATGCAAATATTGATCAATATCTGAAAAGAAAAACAACGCTCGACGACTCGTTTATGGGTTCGCAAGCCAAGCTTATTGAGCTCAGGAGTCGAGTTCGAGTTCAAGCTTGAGCCGGTTCGGCTCGTGAGCTCGCGAGCCTGCTCGAATAAATATTAATATTTTAAAATAACTTTATTTTATTTATTAAATTTAAATTTTAAAAAAATTAATAAAACCCACCTAAGTTTTATTTAAATGTTAAACATTCCTTTTTTTATAAATTTTCACTAAGTTTTAAAAATCCCGCTTAAGTTTTAAAAATCCAGCTTAATTTTTAAAAATCTCGCCTAAATTTAAAAATTCCCACCATGGCTCGCAAGCCGACTCAAGCTTGTTTGCAGTGAGATGAGCTCGAACTGGAGCTCGCTTTCCAACTAACAAGTCGAGCCAATAAGGACCTAAACTCGACTCGTTTATAGCCCTAACCAAAACTGCAAGATTATAGGGCAGGAGCTTCTATTGTCGTCTATGCTCATAAGCTGTACTTAAACATAACAATGTAACTTGGACAACATCTCCCAGTTTGAAGAGGGTGTTCGGATTAGTCAAATTCAATAAATCCAAATGACTAGACATGAAGACATGTGCTTCCATAGCCTGTATAATATGCGGATGATAACCAAAAACATGGTCTAACACTAGTTCAGCATGGGCAACTGTATCAAACTAGAATAGCCTTCAATGCTTATATTTAAGAATTAAAAAGATTGTAATTTGTTATGAGCCTAAGATATACAGTGATAAAAAAGTAAATGGTTCATCACAAAAGGGGGGATGAATTCAGGATAAAAGGGTGGGCTAGAGTCCACCTGTTCAAAGCCAAAACCATTTTTTCTCCATCTAAGCCAAAAAAAGGTCTACTATGGAAGCTATTCATTTATTGAGAGGGTTGATGGAGAAGTTGAGAGAGACAATAGAGGATATACATATGATATTTATTGATTTAGAGAAAGCATATGATAAAGTTCTAAGAGAAGTGCTATGGAGAGTTCTAGAAAAGATAATGCTTACATTCAAGTCATCAGGGATATGCATGTAGGAGTTGTTACTTATGTTCAACCACAAAGTGATTTGTCCAAGTATTTTCCTATTTCAGTTGGATTACATCAAGTATCAGCCTTAAGCCCTCATATTTTTTCTTTAGTCATGGATGTTCTCACTAGACATTTGCAAGAGGATGTACCTTGGTGTATGCTTTTGCTGATGATATTCTTCTTGTTGATAAGACTGGAGAGGGAGTTGAAGGTAAACTCGATTATGGAGGTCACCCTTATAATTTAAAGGTTTTCATTTGAGTAGATCTAAAACTGAATACATGGAGTACTTTTAGTAGTAATAGATCTAGTGGGGGGTTTGTAACTTTGAGCAATCAAGTTATTAATAAGTGTACTCGTTTTAGATATATTTGATCTATTGTTCAAAGTGTTGGTAAAATAGATGGGGATATTATTAGTAGAATTCAAGTTGGATGGTTGAAGTGGAGGAATATTGCAGGTTTGTTGTGTGATAGAAAAGTACCACTCAATCATAAGGGAAATTTTTATAAGACAGTGGTGAGACCTGCAATGCTTAATTTATGACGTAGAATGTTAGCCATTAAAAGAGAAACATAATATTATGTTAAGTGTTTGCTGAGAAGAGGATGCTCATGTGGATGAGTGGGCAGACTCTTAGAAACAGGATACAAAATGAGCATATCCGGGAAAAGGTTAAAGTAGTTCCAGTGAAAGATAAGATTAAAGAGAGTCGCCTTAGATGGTTTGGTCATGTAAAACGTCGGCCTTCCAATGCCATATTTTTGGTTAGCAGATAACGTTGGCACCTTGTTATTGGGTTGTAATTCTAATAACTATGGCATAATTAGCTAAGCATAACACATTCAGATGAGTCTACATATTAATTACGCAATATTTTTTGAACAAGCGTAAACCCAGATAAACCAATTTTATAGTTAAAATCTACATAATCTATACTACACCCAAACCTTTCTTAATCAATGTTGTAACCGCCAACTCTAAGTTACATCTTGGTCGCTTCAGCAAGCCTGCATAAGATTTTCTTTTCAATGCCCGCATATGAATTGATACCAAACAATCCCAAAGAAGAATTCTTGCAAATCAGCGTTGTAAGTATGCTTCATTTCCTTCTCTGAATATATTTCCTAAAATGAATTTGCATGTAGTTGGGCTGGTAGAAATAGAAATCTATCAATTTACAAACTGATTCTAGACCAATCAATTAAACAATCAAAATTTCAAAACAGACTGACAGTTTTCTTGCAGTGTGAGATATTCTACACTCATTCATCAATTGATCGCAAGCCATTAGAAAGATAAACATCCAATTTTTAGAAACTAAATACCAAATATTAGTGCAAACGAAAGGAAGGGGTTTTGATATTCACTGTTCAAACCATATCCAAGTAGGATTATGACTACTACTGCCAGGAAAACACTCAGAACAAAATTTATCATATGTGATGAAATCAAAATTAAATCATAATACAGTTTAAGGTTAGATTCAGATGTGCTCACATGTGCTGCTCAACGAAGTATGTTCCATCCACACCACAGCAAACTACAGCTATCTCACCAGGTCGTGCCACTTGCAAATTGTTAACATCTCTGTTAAGAAGAGAAGAAATATTAGTCTAAGAACAATACAAAATCATAAAGAATTGGCATAGATATGAACCTGAAATCAACATATAGAAACAAATACAAGCAAAGCATAATTACCTCGCTTGAGAGTGCTTCTTCTTTGCATTTGTTGATTCAAAATTAAATTTTGACTTGCACTCCGGACAGTAGTAATCTGAGTTTTCAATATCCTTCATAACATGAATTTATATTATAAGAACAAAACACATACAAAAGATGATGGCCACAGTAATCCCAATGATAAGTTAATACTAACAAGATGACTTCAAGCTGACCTTAAGGTTGTCACATATTTTGTCACATTCCGCATGAACCCAAATTTGGCATCCATCACAGCAAACCTATAATTTATTGAATGGTTCAGATAAAGGCTTAGGGCATCCCCAACCGAAAATCTCATTTTTCACTCCAAAATGCAGTGTAACAAAAAAATGGTGTGATTCATCTTCAATCGAACTCCATTTTGCGCCCAGGTAACCGTCTTTCTCCTTAGCACATTTCTTCGGCAAATCTGATAGAGACAGAAAAATAACGCAGGTGAAGAGTGCAACACCAATATTGACGTCGCATTGTTCACCTGCAACCAAATACCGGAAGTTTTGCCGTTCGGCTGGAGCTCGCTAGCGACATCATTCATGCATTTGAAGTTCGGTTGGAGAAAGACTTAACAAATTTGAACTGGCATTTCTATGAAAATCAAAGACAACCATTTTGACAATGACGTAATTCAACTTACCCAACTACCACCATCTGTGTGATGCCAGATCTTCTTACATATGCCACAGTATTGTTTTGACCTCAACAACTGAAAAGATTGTGCATGATGAAAGATAACAATTAATACTTCAGAAGATGGTCAGATCATAAATCTATATTTAGCATTGGGGAGATTCCAGGGAATTTCCTTAAAGAAGTCAATGGCGGAGTGAATAATACCTTTGCACAGTGCCTACAGACCAATTGTTCCGACAGCATCTTCATCTTCTTTGTGCCTTTGGATTGAATGATCAATCCACAACTATGACATCGAGGTCCTGATTTGTCATCGCCCTAAACTTAAAAAGTAATCAGGTAAACTGAACATCTCAGCCAATTTTCGTAAACAGCAGTTACATATAATGGTCGCACACGTCTAGGATTAAGAAAACATGCCATATTTAGCTGGTATAGAAATAGCTGCAGTGATCAAGAAAATGAATATAAGTTAAATAACGGTGACAAGTTTGACAATGTGGCTCAAGCTAGGGAACTCGATATTTACTTTGAGAAATATTTAACATGAAAGTCTCCTACTACCACATTAAGGCTTCGTTTGGGACGGCAACGGAGTTTTAGTACAATTTTTTTTTATTTTTAAACTAAAACTCTGTTTTAGAAAGCAATAAAAAAGCCGTCCCAAATGAAGCCTAAATAATGTTATATTGCTTTGAGATGGTTTCCTGAAAATGCCATCTATAAAATGAATAAGACAGAACAAATATGCACTCAACACAAGAAGCAGGACTAGCCACCTCGCCTTACTTGCCTGGCCACTCGGCATGCCCGCACGAGGGACGGAGGACGGGCAGAATTCAAAATAGAGCAGGTTGGCGGGTTGTGTCGAGTCAATCATGTAATCCGCGTAGGTCAGGTCCGGGTTGGCAATCCTGACCCATTTGCAAAATCGGGTCGGGTTAGTGTCAACCCGTTTAAACCCGGGTCAATCCGGGTTCGACGCCAACCCAACCTGCGGACCCATTTTGACACTCCTAGAGCTAAACATGTGCTAGCTAGCATTGGGAGAGAGAAACATTAGCAAACCAAGCAGCCTGCCCACTTTTTTTCTAATTTTTCAAAAAAAAAAACTGTAATTCACTTTCAATTTTTTTAAGGTACATTGTTCTTAAACATAGTTTAAAATCTTAAAACATAATTTATAAATGCTACATGATTTATTTATGTTACATCTATAATGACATTATGCTATTGTTTGAATAAGCAAATTTTTAATTGCATATATTAGTTCTGAAAGTACCAAAACCAACAATGATCAAAATGAAAGGCCAAATGTTCTGATACCGATACTCCACAAAGGAGCCTGAACTCTGAAACCAATATGAAAATCAGGCTTTAAAACCTTAGTTTCATCCAAAATAGGATTACAAATTTTGTATTTCAAAAACTTGATATCCCTGAATAAATGCCTACTTCACATATTTACTCATTCCACGCAACTATAGTACTACAATATATGATGTTCTAATAAGTAAAAAAACTAATGTCCGCAATAATCTTGCCTGTATATGTGAATGACATTCCAGGTCATGGTTTGAGCTGGTTGCTTCTTGGATCCCTCTAAGAACAGATTGATCATATGGCATTTGCCCGATCATGCTCATTTCATCAACTTCGGCACCTACAAAACCATAATCGGCTAAGAAGGCTTCCTCAATAGCCATCCGGAACTCACTGGGTTTGCTCTTGTAGAGCTGCGTCTGCCCTTGAAACCTGACACAAAAAAAGACTAGTAATTCGAAACAAAAAACAATTAAAGAAACAAAATTGCATTATTACAGAGCTTAAGTTACGAACTTATCCAAATAATCTATGAATGGAAATAGCATCCCTTGTTTCACCCAGCCGTAATCCTGCCCATGAATAGCATAATGGAATTAAATAAATCAGGTCGAGAATTAACATCAAAGTACAGACAAGAAAAAATACCCTTTCTTGTCCATTTCCAGAGAACCCAAAGAACATCACACAAAGAGCTCCAGGAATGCAGGAATTGAGGACCATAGCAGGAGCTTGCTGCATTGGATTGATTACAACCGCAGGCCAAGCAGGATACTTCTTCCCTGATTTCGCCCAAACCACATCCCCTAAGCTAAAATCCCCTGGAAAAAAGTAATCCTTCCGTCTTTCAACAATCTCCCTTCCCAAATTAGGCTCCTTGCTAACTGCGTCGGAATAAAAGCTCGCGGGATCTTCCACCCCCAGAAAACTTTCGGATAAAGAAGTGAGAGTACTTCGCGAAGCAGAGTACTTCTTAACACGAAAGTTCCTGCAAGCGCTACGGTAGTCCTCTTCGCTAACCAATGCAAGGGAATTAGATTCGGCGGGTACGATAAAAACGTCTTTTTTATCGTCAAAGATCCTTTTTTTACGCTCTGGCGATTCTTCTACATTGCTGATATCCATTGGAAAAAACATGTCCACTCTCCGATTCTTCCCGCTGCTCTCTACAGTCCCATTGCCCTCGACCTCGCCGCCAATTTCAGCCTTGCACCGCTTCAGGCTCGGCATTTGGCCCCTTAGGCTCCGTTTAATAATCTTCTTCTGCCCTATAGTTCGTCTTAGAGTTCCAAGCTGATATTTTGATCACGAAGAAACATCAGAAACCCTAACACGCGCCAAAAAAATAAAGTAGAAGAAAATATTGGGGGCAGGGATTGGATCGCAGACTAGACCCTCTTTGATTTCTGTCAATTTCCCTCCTACGAGGGAGCGAGAGGGCCAGAGAGGGACTCCAAGCTCCAAAATGGCGAGCGGAATCGAGAGCTAGATGAAAAATATGAGGTGAAACTGAACGGCATCGTTTACCTGTTAACGAGGCGCGAAACGAGTAAAACCCGTCGGACTGCGATCACCGAATCTAGTTTTTTCTTTGAACGGGCGGGACATGGAAAACGTGGGAAGGGAGAAATTCCATTTTGGAGTTGCGGGAAATGAGTAGGCGAGTCGCAATGAATTTGAGTCGAAGCTAGAGTGGGGTTGTCGATTTGATCCTGGGATTTTATTTTTTTTTTTTATTTTTTTTAATATTATATTTTTTTATGGTGAGAAAAGGATGATTTTTAAAATCAAATTAGATTTGTGAATTTCTTAAAGCAATTTTTTTTATTTATTTTAGATATCTTAGTGTTTTGTTCAAAGTGATGATGAAATAGTTGAGGATATTATTAGTAGAATTCAAGTTATATGGATGGAGTGGAGGAATGCAACAGGCTTATTATGTGAAACTTTAGAAAATATATTATAAGATTGTGGTTAGGCCTGTAATGCTTTATGGTGCAGAATGTTGGTCATTAAAAGAGAAGCATGATATTAAGTGTTGAACATATGAGGATGCTCAGATGGATGAGTGGCTTTACACTTAAAAACACAATATGAAATAAGCATATACGTGAAAAGGTTGGAGTAGCTCCAGTGAAAGATAAGATTAGATAGAGTTGCCTTAGATGGTTTGCTCACATAAAACAGCGGCCTTCTGATAACCCGGGTAGGAGAGCAGATGTATTAGATTTAACTTATGTCAAGAAAGGTAGATGTAAACTTAAAAAGACTTGGTTATGAGATATTAGAAATAACTTTTTTATTATATCTAAATGATAATTTGACTCGTAATCAGACACAATGGATAAAAATGATTCATGTAGTCGATTCTACGTAGTAGGATAAAGACTTGATGTTATTGTTATTATCCACTAGCTCATTTAGATGGTTCAAGTTCACCAACCATAGTCCATCCTAACTTTTTTTTGTTTTCTTTGAGATCAGCATATGATATCTAAACGCTTATCCCCCATGAGATACAAATAGTACAATCTCAGCATGTTTCCTCTAATTATTAAGGAAATGCAAGGCATATGTAAAGTTTCTCTCATTTCTTTTAATTAGTTATATTTACGGTGAGGCACAAATTAAAATTTTGAAATTGATTATTTGTTGTAATTTTGACTTTTTTTTATTTTCAATTATTAGTTAAATTCTTATTTTTATAAAATTAAAAGAAAAATTTTAATTTATATTAATTTATTTAAATATCAATAATTGAAAAAAAATGGGATCTTAGAATGAAATGTATTAATCTTAATCCCTCCCAATCTAAATGCCTCATACAAAAATAAATCAACACGTGTTTACTTGTAATGCATAATTAGTAAAGGGGAACAGAAGAAAAATAGGAGTTTGTTGTTAGAGAATATTACATCTTAGGCTTCATCTGGGACGACTTTTTTTATAGCTTCTTAACAGTAAGAAAGTCGTACCAAATGAAGCCTTAAACTCATTTGTCTAATTGCGTCCATTTTGATATGACTTCATGTGCATGAATATTTGTTTCAATGTGGATAATATTTATTTCACATGCTAATTTTATAAAATTTAGCAAGAAAATCTTAACTTTTTTTTGTTGATATATGTTATTTAAGTTGAAGTTAACTATGTTCATTAATAAAGATAATTAAATTTTGATTCATCCACAATCCAATGAAACTCAATGAACTCAGCATCAATTTAGTTCAACACTACTTAAAAAAAAAGTTGGGTTAATATTAACTAAATCAATTGATTTCATAAATATAGAATTGAAATCCATTGATTTAGTTAGGCTTCGTTTGTGACAGCTTTCTTACAGCTTTTTAAAGCAGCTTTTTAGTGCAAAAATTTATAGTTTAATAATTTTTTTACTACAAAGCTGTAAGAAAACTATCCTGAACGAAACCTTAGGCTTTGTTTGGAACGACTTTCTTACTGCTTTCTAAAGCAGCTTTTTAGTACAAAAATTTCTTAAACTAAAAAGCTGCTTCAAAAAATAGTAAGAAAGTTGTCTCAAACTAAACCTTAATCTAAAAATTAAACCAACCAAATGCACACTACTAACAATATAGTTGCTCTCTATTAACTCCCTATTAGGGATGACAATCCATAGCCCCATTACTTTGTTGTGATATTGAGTATGAGATCTCATTCAAAGTTCAAATACTTCTTGGTGGTGGTTTAAAAGTTCTCTTGTAATTTATAAAAGGAGTGTTGATATAAATTCACTAGGGAATGAGACACACCCTAAATTTCTAATATAGGAATTTTGAAGAATTGAAGTTTGGTCTACATTCCCTTTAACTATAACAAATCCCTAAACATCTACAAGAAGACTTAAGTCTAAATAGGCTCACAAGCTAATTTTGTGCTTGCCCCAATTACAACCATATCCATGATGTTACCATGAAAGTCCTTTAACAATGTAGCCTAGGTTTCAAAAACTATCATGAAAATGAAAAGAGGTATTTACATAAATATCATTTTATATCATATTATTTACATATCTAACACATAACACTTTAATATTTCATGTCTATCACTCAGAGATGATTTTAATATCAAGTATATCACTCTTATATTTCATTCCTACCACTCATATCACCCTATAAACTTTCATGTTCCATTCCTTGGACTCATATTTGATCTATGAGTGGTAGTCATGAAATATTAAAAATTTAGATGTTAGATATGTAAATAACTTAATATGAAGTGATATATATGAAAATCCTACTCCAAACAACTTTGTCCTGCCCGACCTCAACTCTATAGATGAAGGTTTCATTTATGAAAGCTTTTGTATTGTTTTGGTTTTCAGATCGCAAACATAATTTCAGTTTTCAAAAAAAAAAAATTTCTTTCAATAGCATTACAATCATCTTTATAAAAATTACAGTAATCTCAAACGGATCTTAAACTCACATCAAGCCTTCACCCATAGTGCTAGCAACATAAGCCGTGCAATCCACCATTGCACCTTCTTCTCCGCCCACAACGTTTAAAGCACCCACATTTGATTAATATAAAAAGATTGATCCACCAAATGAAGAAACAAACCTAAATCTACTAAAAAACGATATTGGAAAAACTATTAGGTGCAGGCAACATACGTGTTTGGCTATCAGCAATAATCATCGAGATAGAAATGCTAGATCTGATTTGCTGCAATTCCCATGTATTAATTTCTCCACAAAATGGTTCATCGACAGCCGAGAGCTCATTAGTTGCTAAAAAGCTGAAAGATAGGAGTTGATGAGCCGAACGATCATTCAAAAATTGGTCAGAGTAATTGTCAGCCATACTGTCAAACAAGAAGCTAAGATGATTCAGGATATTCCAGTGAAGTTTTGTCGCTCTGATTGAAGAGAAAAGGACGAACTATGATTGAAAAAGATGAACTGAAATTCATCAATAATACAACACAATTGTTTCGGCAAGTCAATAATCAAACAAAATCTACCTCCAGATAATACTATAAAAGGCGCCAATCAGAAAGCTCCAACAAAGCTATAAACTCAAACGTACAGTTCGGAGCAGAACCGGGAAGAAACCTTAATTTCATCATCGTCCCCGCTCTCATCTCCATCCAAGTCAAATCCCAAATCCCTCATCACATCCCTCAGCTTCATCACCGCAGCAGACCACTCGTCCTCCGGCCATGTCGCGCACATCGTCGCCTTCCAACCTCTCATCTGACACTCCACAAGCATCGCCGCCCCAAGGCCCGCCATCACGCTCCCCGAAGGCAAGTACTCCCAATCCCGAATCAAACGATCATCTCCTAGCCTCTCCGACGATGTTTCCAGCTTGAAACCCACCGCTTCATCCGTCAACAACCGGCTCCTGTAACTCTCCACCTTGATCGAATCCAAGATCAGGACTCTCTCTCCGCGGATCTCATCCAGCAGCGCCTTCGCGACGGCGCGAGACCTCTCGTAGGAGACCTTGTGGTTAAGGGCGGCAATGATGGCGGGAGAAGGTTGCCGATCGATGGAGTAGATGTTGCACGATTTGGAGGAAATATTGGTTTCTGGGAGGATTAGGCTTCCGATTCTTGTTTTATGGGCGATGCGGCGGAGAAGGGCAAGAGAAGGGGCGGAGATGGCGATTATGAGGATGGAAGGGCGGAGGGTAGGGGGATTAGGGTTTAGGCGGAGGACTGGAGGAGGAAGGGAAGGTGGTGGGGTTGCGAAGTTGTCGAGGTCTTCTTCGAAGAATCTCGATGGTGGTGGAAGCTCCGTAAGTACATCGTCCATTTTCTTCTGTATAGGATTTGGAAATTGGGGTTTTGGTTTCCTGGTACTTCAATGGATCGCGTAGGATTTATATAAAATGGCGAGTTTCCTAAATGTGCGAGTTTTTTTTTTTTTTTAATAAGTATATCCATCCACTATCATCTCTGAAAGGAACAATTATTAGGTCATATGACCTCACGTATCTTTATATTCTGACGCTAATAACATGTCACCGCATGTTCTTACTCTTTACCGAGCAGCCAGACGACTTGACCCGGACCGAAACCCGGGACTGCTATGTTCACGTATTGCTAGGTATTGCTCGGCATTGCTCGGTATTGCTAGGTATTGCTCGGTATTGTTAGATATTGCTTGGCAATAACGAAGAATATCGCTTTGTGAAGACCAATACCGAGCAATATCGAGTTTTTCTCGGTGTTGCTCTTCACATAATGGTATTTCACGTTATCGTCGAGCAAAATCGACCAATACCTAGTAATACCGAGCAATACCAGGTCGTCGTGGATTTAAAATATGCACGTGCCACATACCCACTACTCGTTGGGTCGGGTCCGCAATATTGTGCCTGCTACATGGCACTATATCAGTGATGACCGAACGTAAAGCTACGTCCGGTCACCGGACCAAATAAAAGTTCCTCTGAAAGAGTGCTTGGTAGCATAAATAATTCTCAGTTGACTTAAAAAAGGCACTCATCTTTGAAACTTGTTAGCCCGCACTTGATTGGGCCCCACTTAAGAGGGATCTCTGGAGCTTTATTTGTTTGACTTTAAGTAAAACAGTTGAAAATATTTTAAATGTAGGTCTGAAAAATATCGATATTTAATTTGAAATAAATAAAATATAATGTAAATTAATGTAAATTATGGATGTATTTGAAAATTAATTTTTAGTTTTTTTTCTTGTATTTCGAATTCTTTCGATTTTGGTGATTTTCAAATATACTGGAACTCCATTATTTGATGTTGTCCTTTACCGCCGCCGACCACCACTGTCATGGCCATCCACCTCCACAAACTTTTTTTTTAACTTTACACTGCATTTATTTTAGTTCAAATCAAATAAAAAATAATTTTACGTGCTTATTTTACACATTCACACAACTCAAAGTTATTTCAAATATACTGTATTATTGTTATACTACATGCATCTTCAGCCAATTAATATTGTTGCATGCATACCAAATGTTATTCATAAGTGAGTTTCATCTCATACAAACTAAGGTTAATGCCATTCAATTCCTTCTGAAATTATGAATTCTTAAATATTTGTAAAAATCTTATTAAAATTACCATTGAAATCTACATATGTTAGTATATCATTACTATTAACATCGAATATAATTAATGCAATAATATGATTTCACTTTTATATGGTAATAATATATTGAGTCATATATCTGATTATATTAAAACTTAATTGTTATTCATTTGATTGAGCATTTGAAACACAAAGTGTTGATAAAAGGCATAGGATCATATTAGCCAACTTGATATATTTATTTACTTGGCATAACATTAGTGTGTTATGATATGACTAAATGTTGAATTGATTAATTCATATCTTATTATGTGATATCTCATATTTATAAAGTGATGTATCATGACTTAGGTTTCGTTTGTGACGTCTTTCTTACTGCTTCTTAAAGTCGCTTTCTAGTACAAAAAATTTAAATTTTGTACTAAAAAGCTGCTTTAAAAAGCAGTAAGAAAACTGTCCCAAATGAAACCTTAATAATGAAGCCATAAGCAGATAATAATTCTACCTTTTAACTTACAAAGTAAGTGATTTTTCCAATGTATATAGCCATAGGGTTTCTATCACCAATAATGAATGGTTTAAAGTACTTGAATAGGCATGAAGGTATAAATAATATGCATGATCTTAATATACTTACTCTAATAATTTAGTTTTGTATGAAGGTCAAGTACACAGTTAGATAGAATAGAGAGGTGTACCAATCATAAGAGATATCATAATTTTTATATAGAAAACCCTTAAAAGAGGAATGCCCACAGCGCCTTGCCTAGTTGAAATGATTCCATTAGTATTAATAGTTGATTACATATGATATCCTTCCCTTGGGGAAGATGTTGGCTCAATATAGCAAATATATATTGAATGAAACACATTACATAGCTGGAGAATGACATGATTGTAAAGGCCATTTTTCTCCCAGGATCGTCCGGGACGAAGTTGGATCGTCCCGGGACGATTTGTACTGGTTGTGCGGGAAATATTTCTGGCTGCATGGTTCGTCTGGACGAAATTTGGATCGTCTGGACTAAAATTTTACAGAGCCAAATCGTCCAGGGACGTTAATTAATCTCGTATGGACGAAATTCGTCCAGAGCCGAATCGTCCCGGGACGAAGTTTCGATCGTCCAGGACGATCCGTCTGGATATATAAAGAAATGAGATATTTTGAACAGAGAGAAAAGCCTAGGAGAGAGAAAATCGAAGGAAAAAGAAAAAAAGTGATTTTTGGGCGACTCCGGTCCGTTTTCGTCCGTTGTTGTAGTTAAAGAAGTTGACCGACTCGAGGTAAGGTACATTCCGCCTTTCTCAATTTTCAGAAACAAGGATTTTGACGAGTTTTCTGTTTTGAATTTTGTTTCCGTTAGCGAATTTTGGGTATTATTTTCTTTTGACAAATGTTTTATCGCATAACTTTTGGTATGTCTTTGAGATGATAATTATGCACGTTTTGAGTATTTTCTGAAAGATTTTTACCGAATATTTTGGATTCTGCGGTGTTTTAAGTGAACTGCAAATTATCAGGATGTTGAAAAATGTTTTGTCAGTACAATGAAAGTCTTACAATATTGTTGTGAATGTTCTGTGATAATTTGGTAACTTTCTGAATCTGTGAGTTTTGTTTAAATTCCGTATACTGCCGTTATGCCGCTGAATTTTCGTACGATTTCTGAAATTTCTGAAATAAGATAATTTGAATATTTAAAGTGTTTGTGTGCTATCAAAAGGGGCTATAAGGGGTCAGAATCCGTTAAGATTCTGTAAGTGTCAGGGAAAGGGGTTATAAGGGGCTAGAATCCGTTGAGATTCTGTAAGTGTCAGGGAATGGAGACATAAGGGGTCAGAATCCGTCGAGATTCAGTAAGGGTCTGGAAATCTGATATGTGATATGTTATCTGGAATATGATGTTTGATATCTGAAATTTGTTATGTGACTTATCTGATTTTTTTATGAATTATCTGATATATGTACGATTCGGGTTATTCCGTGCGATTCTGTCTGCTCTGTGACTTTAAAACTTTATGATATCTGTACTGAACGCCGATTCGACATGACTTCGTTTTCTGTATTTGTTGTGATTTATGATTGAATAAGCATCTGTTCTATGATTTTCGTACGGCTTTTCTGATGTGCGTTTGTGACAATTTTGATTGGTGATTGATGTCTTGCTGAGCTGTTAGCTCATCCTTATTTTTTACGTGGTTTTCAGGTTCTGGAAAAGGGAAGGAAGTTGTGGATTAGCGATCCAGAGTCTGATTTGTGATTATGTATTTTGTACTTTTGATTTTTGTACAGTAATGACTCATCTGTTATGTTCTTTCTGTCCGTAAGCCATGTATTGTATCTGTATATGATTATATTGATGAAAAAAAATATAGATGAACTGCGCTGCATTTGGATATTTTTAGTAGCTTTGTGTTTTTCTGTCTGTGTTATATTTGGAAGAAAGTTTTGAAGCAAATTCCAAAGCCAGATCCTGGATTTGTTGGCTCTGTCGCGGCCCGATGTGAGCGGGATCCGTCACGGTCGGGTTGGGTCGTGACAAGCTTTAGTGATATCAGAGTAATAGTTTTGGAATTTGGATTATAATACAGAGCTATAGAAAGTGATATGTGAGTCTGTCTCGGGTAGGTCTGGTTTGTTTGGATTTTTTTCTGTTGTTTTGTGCTTAGTTTTCTGTGTGATCATAGATCTGCCAGACCCAAATATGACAGATGGGCATAGTGCTAGTCAGGCGGCTCCAGTGGGCAGTACAGCCCCAGTGGTTGGTTCCGATACACTTTCTCAGTTTGCTACATTGATTGCTCATATGATGAGCGAGACTCAGAGTAGAGCCTCTACTATCCGATCTGAAGATATATATAAACATCTGCAGTTGTTTCTGAGATTGAAACCTCCGAGGTTTGAGGGCACTGTTGAGCCCAAAGCAGCTGAAGAATGGTTGAGGAGGTTATAAAAGACTTTTAACGGTATGCAGTGTCCGTCGGACAGGAAGGTACCATTGGCAATTTTTCTATTGGATGGGGAAGAAGAGCACTGGTGGATAGGCCAACAGGAGGCGAAATTTCAAGGGAAGTTAAATTCTTTGATTACTTGGGAAGAATTTTCTGAGAAATTTCGATCGTGGTTTGTACCTCCTTCTGCACGATAGCAGATGCAGGAGACTTTTCTGAGACTTGTTCAGGGGAGCATGACTGTGATGCAATATGAGGCAAAATTTATTGCTTTAACCTGTTATTCTCCACAGTTGGTAAGTACTTCTGCTGAGAGGTGCTATAGATTTCTTAGAGAACTACGAGATAGTCTGAGGCAGCCCCTGGTGCCATTTCATATTTCTGATTTCTCTGAGCTTGTGGAGAGAGCTCGTCTGATAGAGAATGATTTGATGGCTACTCAGCAGCGGTGGACTGCAAGTAGGAAGAGATTTGGGGGTTATGCAGTTTCTGGTACTGCCGCTACCGGTACGACCAGTTCGGGATCAGTCAGTGGGACACCTGTGTGCCAAATTTGTGGACGATAACATTTTGGCCAGTGCTTCATGACGACTAGTCAGTGCTTTAAATGTGGTCAGCCAGGACATCGGATTGCAGAGTGTCCACAGGCTGGATTTGATAGACGATCTGAGTTTCGATCTGATAGTAGACCTATTAGTTCAGCAGGAAGACCGAGGACTGTTCCTCCACGTACTGTGACTGAAGGATCTTCTGGTGGTAGAGGTGGTGGATCTAGTTCTGTGGCACGGAGACCACCTACTGGTAGTCAGCGGGAGTCTAGTGGTTCAGTAGCTCCAGCTCCTGTTCAGC